CTCCATCGGATCCGACGATTGCCAGATGGCTGACGTACATCTGGATGTTCAATTTCGAATTAGAACGGATTTCTGGTAGTAAGAACCGGGCAGACGGGCTGAGTCGGATCAACTGGGATAAGCAGGAAGGGGAAGCGGTGGAGAATACGCCCCCAGTTGATGGATTTCTGGATCAGGAAGAAGATATTCGTCTCCATATCAATAAGTGGTCGCCGCAAGTGCCCAGCTGTGTAGGCTATCCTATTTGGCAAGCGCCGAGCGGATATGAAAGGAGGACCGAGGTGGTCCTCAAACCCTTTAAAGAAGAGGATCCCTGGGGCGGTAAGGATGTTCAGTGGATGATGGAATTAGCGCTGGCTAGCTCGCATAGCCTGGTGGAGGATATGAGGACGATTGAGGAAGGACCTGGCCAGGTAGAACGGCATGAGGACCTGATGGGAGGAATGTATCTCCTCGTCAATACGTTATTGCAGGAAAGCCTAGACCAGTCAGGCTCGTTGAACCCGGCAGGGAATGTGGACGAAATACCCGAGAGCCAGGACGACGAGTTCGAAGAAGGGGAAATTAAGRAAGCTTTTCGTGCAGAGGAGTACGACGGGATCTACCTAGAGTTGGGGCTTCTTCTGTCATGTGAAATGCGGCTAAGARATGCGAGCGATAGGGCTCAAAGGATGCTGCAGCGCTACTCAGTGCGAGACAGTCACCTTTTCGTAAGAAGGGAAGTGGGGAATCCCAGGAAAGTCGTCTGCGGTAGGAATCGTCAGATCGACGTCGTAGCAGCGCTTCACGATGGTATTGCAGGAGGACATCGAGGGGTACAAGCCACGTATGCCAAGATAAGTGAGTTGTACTACTAGGATGGGATGATGGATATGGTCGGAAAGTTATGCCGATCTTGCGTATCTTGCCAGGAAAGATCCCGTTTGAGGCAAGGAGAGTCGCTGCATCCCAGGCTAGAGCGAGAGGTGGGGGCTGTAGTGCATCTCGATCTACTTTTTATGCCACTTGGGGATCAAGGCTATAACTATATCTTCGATGCGCGCGATAACCTGTCTGGGTTCGTAGACGGGCGTGCTATTCGCACAAAGACCGGGTCAGTCCTGGTGAGCTGCATCGAGGAGCACTACCTGCGTTATCCTTTCGTCAGGGAATTCGTAATGGACAGGGGATCAGAATTTACCTGCCAGGAGGTGCAAAAACTGTTATCAAGGTATGGTGTGGCAGTCAACTACATCACGGTCGCGCACCCCCAGGCAAATGCTCCCATAGAGAGAGGACATAGTACCATTACGAATCTCCTGGCCAAATGGACCGAAGGTAGGCCTAATCAATGGCCAAGATACCTAAGGGCGACTTTCTTTGTCGAGAACATTACAGTAAAAAGATCCACCAAGTACGCACCTGCGACGCTGTGGTACGGAAGGCATGCCACCTTCCCTATCGAAAATTTTCTTAAGACATGGAGGCGCCAGGATCTGAAAATTAACCTGTCATTTGAAGAGTTGCTCGATATTCGGGCGCGGCAGGTCTGGGCGATAGAAGAAAGGATCCAGGAGGCATCTGATCAGGTGGCGAGAAGCCGTATGAATGATAAGGCCCGATGGGATCAGTCTGCACGAGTGAGGAAAGTACCCTTGGCAGTCGGGGATGTAGTGCTTCTCTACGATACATCGCTAGAGAAGCAGTGGTCCAGGAAGCTCGATAAGAGATGGTTAGGTCCCTACCGAATCGCACGGGTCGGAGACTTCGGAGCGTACCAGATCGAGGAGTTAAATGGGACTGAGTGGAAAGATTGGGTATCTGGAACGCGACTGAAGAAATTTGTGGCGAGAGAAGAGGTAAGAGAGATGACCTGACCGCCTTTAGAATAGAAGTAACTGGGTGTGTAGGTTAGAAAGGATGCATGCTGCATAAGTGTGGTCTGGTCTGAGCTTGCTCTGATTATCACCTGCTTGTTTACCCCAACATGTGTCTGTTGTCTCCTTCGCCTGTTGTGCAGGTCTGACTTTACGAAGACAGCCATGCCAAGAGGAGGGAAGGGGACACGGCCGCCTCAGAGGCCGTTGGGCGCATCAGGAGGATATGAGCGGCATGGGCCTCGCCATCGAGAGAGTACTCCAGTCTACAATGATGGGGACATCGAGCTATTCCTGGACAGTTTCTGGGAGCATGCGAGGCGTATAGGCTGGACCGTCGCTCAGGCGATTGAGAGATTGAGGGGAGCAGGTAGGTTCGAAGAGCCCATTGCCAGGATTCGTAGGGAGGCGACGACGAGGCAGGAGGTGGAGATAAGGATGGAGGAGTTACAACCCTCGCCTGTGGGACCTGATGGCAGGTCGATCCGCCTGGAGATTGGAAATGCGTCGGACTTCATCCCCGCGTTTGAGTGGTTCATGCAAGAGCAGGGCATACAGAGAGATGATTGGATGCAGACGCTACCACTCTGGACCAGGAAGGCGGAAAGGTCACTGGTTATGCAGATCAGGGACATGGCACGAGATTGGGAGAGCTGCAGGGCACATTTGAGAGAGGCCTTTCGACGGCCAGAGCTCCCTCAGCCCAGAGTCGAGAG